GAGAGTTACCCTCATGCAAATAGTTCACACATGCGCACACCACTCACAAGCACACATAGGCACGCACTCACACTTGCTAGCATCCATACAAAAATATGCATGCCAAAATAGAGGTCATATAGATCCCACATACAATGGTTCAAACAGACATACATACAACACTTAAATAATCATGCATAGTTCAAAAAATATTCACATGCATTTAAAGATCACACGTACATACATACACATTGTAAACACTAAAATATCTCTTATCATGTATAATACTAACATTTTACGTCATAAATTCTCCCATTTTTGCCCTATGGAAGCATGCTTTGGCAATGAAATGGGGTTGGCATGGCGATGGACTAACATATATATCTAAACACAGCATATGCACAAGCATGCAATTCAAACACAAACAAACGTGTATGACAATCACAAATCCACCAAACACAAGCACCCATGTGATTACCCTTATGCTTACCAGCCGAGCACTAACCTACATGCAAAAATAGAGTTCACAAAGTTCACACATATAACGATTTAAACACCCAAATTCATACAAAATATGCACAATGGCATAAATCACTCAAACATGAACATGAGTACAAAATATACACAGAAAATTCAGATAACTCACAGACAAGCACACAAAAAAGGATTTAGAGAATTTAGACACTCTCAATTCAAACACATATCGACACAAATTGAAATTGCACATATGCACACGAACACACTCATATCTTAATGACACCCAATTAAAAGGAATTTTTCATTAATCATGCACAATTAGTTTATTACTTATACTTATTTGACTCAATCAATGAGAATTGTATTGATTATTCATTACAGTAATGCATTTCTAGTCAAAACACATAACAAACATAAGAAAAACACTAACACAATAACTCAACAACTAAATACTTTTCGGGTCAACACATACCATATGATTCACAAATGAATGCACTATTCATTCACATGCATAAACAATGTTGAAACACAAATAAGAATGTATGAAGCCCAAATTCGCACACACATCTATACATGCACGTACAACAAAGCACTCATGCGAACAAACTCGTGCCCACCAGCCATGCATAAGATTTCACATAGTTCTCACATACAAAGAGTATAAACACATGCAAAAAGACATGAATCACAATAACCAAACATTAATACAACACACTAACACAGAGAGTTCACACAATTCACAAACAAGCACACAAATAGAGTTTACACATTTAAACAAGCATGCACACTTCAAACACACATGCACAAATATGTCAAAAACACCTATCAAAATTTATTTATCATTTAATCAAGCTTAATTGGTGTGTTAATCATACCTAATTAGCACTATTATTGTCAAGCTCCAGGATCTATATTTGAAGAATTACATTTTTCTTCCATTTTAACAAATTTAATTAGAGCTTATTAATGAATATCGGAAAAAAAATATGATTACATTTTTGTCAAATCCGAAATCTCATATCATAGGATCCTTACCCTTTCCTTAAAACATATAAAATCACGTAATGAGCACATAGCTCGGCAAGAAACAGAAATCTTATAACGGAAATTAATGCAAGATAAAAGAGAATAATATTCTATAAATCATCTAAGAAAATATATACATAAATGTCTATATTGATTATTTGTATCAATTTATCATTCTATACCTCATCACATCTCAATCTATTATAATATCAATCACAATATCATTAACAATTAACAGTACTAATGCTAGTAACAACATTAATATCATGATCAATAATGTTAAATAGTGTTAGTGATAGAAAATAATATTAGTGACAGTCAGAACATCAGTACAGTGTTTGTAGTAGTTTTGTTATCAGTATTCAGATATTTAATGAGTGTATTTTAAGGGATTAATAAAAAATTACAAAATGCAATAACAAACAAAACAATAAATACAATTCACATATATACGCACAACAATTTTTGTTCAAACTAAAATTAATTTATACTACTCTCATTTAATTATTCTTATCCTAAGTACATATAAAGTTCACACAGTCATGCAAAATATACAAATACAAACAAGCACAAACAATCATGCAAAATAAAGAAATTTAATATTTTATTCTTAAATTATAGGACAAATTAAAATAAAAATTTAACTTACGACATAATATATTTCATAAAATATTAATACTATTTATTCTAGTTTTATGAAAAGGATAGAGGGTTATGTCAATGTAATCTTTTATCACGTGGATTTTATAATAGTACAATTACTTTTTCTAAATGCACATAAAGTTTACAAACTAATGTAAAGCATACAAATGCATATAACCTAAGAAAATTAATTATTTAAACACCAAACATAAAAAATTTTTACGGGTTTATATTTATGAAGCTAAGAAAATAACTTTAATTATTTTTTAATGATATCTTTGAAAGATAATTTTTTCAATAAATAAAAATATATATAATGTTATTTAAACTCAAGCAAGTACATACAATTTACATATAAATGTACACACACAAAAGCACATGCACTCATGCAAGATGAAGTTAATTTATAATACCCTTCTAGAATTATTTTTATCTTAAATGCACATAAAGTTCAAACACCCATGCAAAACATACACATGCATACAACCATACACTAGTACAAAATAGAAAAATTTTATATTTTGCTCTTAAATTTTATGACAATTTTAAAAAATACAATTCATCTAAGTAATGAACTTCATAAAAAATTAATAATAGTTTTTGTTTAACTTTTATGAATATTCTAAAGGGTTATCTTATTATAATATTGTATCACATTGATTTTATACTAGTCTCCTACAATTACTCTTATTATAAATACACATAAAATTTACACACTCATGCAAAGCATAACAAATTATTCACAAGCATACAAACTCATACAAAATAAAATAATAATACTTAACTCTTAAAATTATTCACAAGCATACAAACTCATACACTATAAAATATAATTAATTTTATATTTCACTCTTAATGCTATGCGAATTAAAAAATAACATTTTGTCTTACTAAGTAATTGAATTCATAAAAGATTAATAGTAATTATTCAAGATTTTACAAATATTCAAAAAGGCTTTGTCATAATGATCTTTTGTTAAATAGTTTATTTGTACTAAATAAAATAAGATAGAGTTAATGACAAATTAATCTCTTATAATAATTCTTATCCTAAATGCACATATAGTTCACACTCATGCAAAAAATACACATGCACATCAACTAAGAAATTCATTTATTTAAACATTGATCAAAAAAAATTTTAAAGGGTTTTATATCTATGAAGCATAAAAAACAACTACAATTATTTTTTTAGGTACCTTTGAGTATATTGTTTACGATAAATAAAATATTATATAATATAATTCGTACCCAAGCAAACGCAAACGATTTATATACACAAGCACACAAGCACAGTCACTCATGCAAGATGAAGTTAATTTTATATTACTCTCTAAAATCATTTTTATCCTAGATTCACATAAAGTTCATACACTTATGCAAAGTATACACATGCACACAAACTCTTACAATATAAAGAAATTCTGCATTTTGCTCTTTAATTTTATAAAATTAAAAGAACAAAAATTTGTGCTACTAAGTAAAGAAATTCTAAAATATAAATAGCATCTAATCAAGATTTTATAAAAATTTCAAAGGGCTTAGTTAAGATGATTGTTACTATGTGGATTTTATACGACTCTCATACAATTCCATAATCGATACAAGTCATTCAAAAATAGTTCTAGCAATCAACTGCTATATTTGTTGGTCAAGTATTTCCCACAATATGCCTTAGATATTTATCAAATAGACTTGGGGCATGTTTAGCAAAAAGTAAGATTTAACTTTAGAATGATTTACTAAATCATGTAAATTCAAATTTAGTAAATCCAGACATGTTAAGTCATGAAAATTGTTAGGCGTCTAGGGTTTGCTTTTCATTTTCTGCATTTCGTCATTAATGCTCAATTTTGTTGCTTCGCATGAGGTAGAGTTTTGCACGAGCCGCTTTTTCAACTTTTTCATTGTTATTTGACTTCACTTATTCAACATAGTTCCCTTCCTGACATTTTGATCAAAAGCAATGATGGGAGCTCGCTCTCTATGAAGGTAACCATCTTTCTCTCTTTCATGCACTTATTCGACCAAATCCCATAAATCCGCTAAATTTCAAAATTTACTAATATGGGATTTAGGGGTTGTTTGGCAACAAGTGGGATTTAACTTTAGTAGAACTTAGTAAATCCTTTAAATTCAGATTTAGTAAATCCTGATGGTGTTAAATATTGAATCTTGTTTTGTATTCCAAATGATAAATCCTGATAAATTGTTTGGTAACATATTTCAAGATTTATGACAGTTAGGGTTTTAAATTCAAGATCATTACATGAAACATAACAAAATCAACTTGAGTTCAAACAATATTATCAAAAATTCAATAGAGTAAATGACAAACTAATATTGACCAAAAGATGGTTGAACTATTAAATAAGAGCAAGCTTCAATTTTCCACCTGAATGTGGAGATAAATTTTGTCATTGCGATCAATTTCTTTAACTTGCAATCTGAAATAAAGAAATGAACAAATTATTATAAAATATAATGTAGTTAAAAATATACAACGCAAACTAAACTCTTACCATAGCATTCCATAAATCAATGGTGATATTAAGTCTTATAGCTTTACCTTAAATTCTTTCTATGATTATCACATGTAAATTGGGATCCTCATAAAAAATATCAACTTTGCCATCTCGAGCATCATTAAGCATTTTCGTCTGTGACATATTGAAGTAGAGATCATATTTGTGGTATCAACCAATGAAGTTGTGCAGAACGGCACATGCTATGACTATATTTGCTTGAACACTCAGTGGAAACTATCGCATGGGCTTCATAGCTTGAAAACATTCTTTCCAAATTTGAAAAGTTCACTTTGTCATGTTGTATAGTTGTGCGTGTAAGTGATTGAACAACGTATTGCCTAGATGTACACCCACAAATTAAATTAGACAATAAGACATGACTTATTATGAAAATAATTAACTTACCAATCTAAGACCTACGACGACATAAGCATGATTATTTGCTTAGCTGAGTACCTCTACTTGTCAATTTCTCTAAACACATTAACCGAGCAATATTATGATAGTCGCATTATTTAAGAATTAAATGTATAAATCGAGCAATGTATAATTAAAAAGCCAAAAATTAAGAAAACACACACATGCGTACATAACGAAAAAATGAAAAAATTCGCACAAAAATCAATCTTCTATCTACACCATACGGGATTCATTACAGAAAAAAAGGACGAAAACAGGCATACGATGTATGCAGGCTATCCAAAGCAGAAAAAAGTTACTTGTGTGTCGAGAGCAACCAGTTCACGAGTGCGAACAAAGACATACCAGCACACCGGAGAGGAAGATGACTTAAAGAGGATGAGGCGGCGGGCTGGAGCGATGCCTACATTCGTTTTGGCAAATAAGGGCGAACGCAAAGCTTCATGACACAGGCGTCGCGGGTAACACTTCTGTGAACTATAAATAACACAATCCACTAAACCGAGGGATTTAGTTAATCCCATATTTATGACGTAAATCCTTACATTCGGGATTTACCGATCGTCGGGATTTAACGCGCACACAAAAATCGTTTGGCAGGATTTAGCAAAAATCCTGCTTAAATCCAGCTATAAATGCGATACCAAACAACCCTTTATAGTCCAAAGGGGGAGACAGACGATTTATTCCACCGTGAGATTTAGCAGGCACTCAAATCTCATTTGGCAATATTTTGCTTAAATCCAGCTTAAATCCTGTTAAATCCTTTTGCCAAACAACCCCTTAGTATTCTTAGCAATAATTCTACTTATTTAATGTCATTGAAACACTAACAGGTGATTCACTATACTCATGTCAAAGAAAGTACGGCCCATTGATTAGAAATCATGAATCTCATTTATCCCTTTGTAATAAATCACAGCATACTACTAAATCAACCAACTATTTCAAATATTACATCAAACTCTTACATATGCAACATGATTAATGTATCCAAATCCGGTGAAGAAAACCAAAGTTTGGTTGATCTGGATTGTTTCAAAAGCATTCTGACTGTACTTAAAAGAGAGTCACATATAGGAGAAGGGAGAAAAAGTAGAAAGAAATAACTTAGGAAAGTGACATTAGGGTCGGCTGATGGAGAAAGCAGAAAGGAGAATTACGGACTAGAAATATAAAATAAGAACGTTAATGACACCGTTCAACCGGAGAGGGATGAGCACACCCTGGCCAGTGGCTAGCAACCGTCTGCTCCTCCACGCTACAGGAGCAAGATTTCTAGCTTGGGTCCACCAACAGAACCACACAGGATGCAGAATTAAGCTGAAACATAAATCCAATCTTATTCTCTGCCAGTTTAATGAATAAATCTAACTATAGTTTCATCATCAGCACAAAACGAAAGGGAAAAGTTAGCCCAGGCAATTCCACTAGCAGTAGACTAACGCATTAAAACTAAGGATGCAATTCCTTGCGTGATACCGTATCAACTCCAGCGTCATTTAGCAGCTCCGGCTGCAGGTTAGACTAATTTCACTTCTGAATGTTTTATGTTATAATATCAGGGTGTGCAAATGTCTAAGTGTTACGCGAGGTTTTGTCGTGTTGGAGGATTTACACAAATTTTAAAACATTCTAACCCTTCCAGATACCAGTAGATGCATAATATAAACGAGAATCATGAAGGTGACTAGCCACAGCCTCCAAGCAAGAGAGAGGTGAGAGAAATAGAGAGAGAGAGACTTCTACCTTCTTCCTCATCAAGTGCCGATCTCGTGTGCGAGGTGAGTCTTCCGTATCGTATAGATGACAATTTCGTGAGCCGGGAGTCTTTGGCAAGAACAACGGATCTCGTGAGTGGGTTTTTCGCATGGAGGGCAAATATCGTGAGCCGGTTGAGACATGGAAGCCAAAGCGCAGTGGGGAGATGGGAGGAAGGAAGAAGCCATGAGAGTCTTCCGTATAGTATCGAGAACCGATCTCGTAAACTGGTCTTCGACAATGAGAGCCGATTTTGTGAGCAGATTGAGTTCCGCGTTGAAGGCCAATATCCTGACCTTAAGAGATGGAAGCCAAAGGGCAAAGGGGAGACAGGAGGAAGGAAGAGGAAATAACTTACAAAGCGAGATAAGGGTGTATTTATAGAGAATGTCGAGGGAAGTAACGGACTAAAAAATAAATTAGGAAAGTTGAGATTGGAATTCATTCTTTTAAATTTATGAATTTCAATTCCGGATGAATTATCATAGCGTGTAAAATTGTAAGATATCGCGATATTAATTAATTTCAATTACTAAGTTAATTTAAATTATTATTCAAAGTTAATTTTAAAATTAAAAAATATATAGTTTTATCTATTTAAATGAATCATACAGTTTTCATTTATAGTATGTATTTTATATTTTTACATATAATTCTTTGACTTATAAAAAAAGACTTTAACATGTTTTATTTTAAAAATACAAATTAAATTTAAAAAAAAAATTCATTTATTTTATCAATTAATATAACATTTTTAATTTAATTTTTAGAATTAAATTCATTAAATATGCATACCTATCAAAGCCCATTTATTAACTAAACTAATATTTATTTTACATGTCAGTATCATAACATCTACAAGAAATATAACTATAATTTTTTTTAATATTATATATATAATGTATATATTAGAAAATATTAGAAATGACATTTCTTCATTAGATCTAGATTTTTAATGGGACACATGCATTGTTTGGCATGCCCCTTTCATGGTGAGTTGTCATTTTTTATTGCTTTCCATGATAGCGGGACGAGAGTGGTGAGGGCCTCTTCAACTAGATTACTTATTGAAATTCGTTCTAAAACATTACAAGAATTGGTTTCAGGTCAAGAATTACATATATATTAGACCTTCTTACTTGGTCTGGGAGATTTTCTTTTGAAAACAGTACAGGAACTGGTTTCAATCAGGCACGAAGTGATTTTTTTTTTTGGTGTTATGTTCGACACTGCGCATATTTACACTAGCTG